TTTAGGGTGGTGCCAGCCTCATCCTCTTCGCTTTCCCAGGCTCAGGCTGGGGGCTGAGGAGACACTTCTGTCCTTGAAGCTCCTCATCCAAGTCCTCCATCGCAGTAGGAGGCCGAGGGGCTATAAGCCCTGGTTCTGCCTTTGCTCAGGGCTGCCCTGTTTTGCTGGGAGATCAGTGTGCACTGTATTCTTGTCTGCAGGCTAATAAAATTGTGTGGTATCTTCAGTGTGATTTGGTTGCTTTAGGTGAGCCAGGTTTTGGCCATGACAGGCTCTCGGGCTCTGCTTCCCTTTATGATGAGCCATGATAAAAATATCTTAAATGCATGCATGCATGAATACTTACTCTGATCTCTGTGAATTTATCCCATTTCCTTTTAAAACCATCTAAATTGTTGGCCACCAATGCAGAAATGAAAACAGCAAGGCAGGAACCACCAGTTCCTATGCCAGAAAGGTCCATTATGGCCACATGCTGGCTGGGGAATTCTGGGAGTTGAAGTCCACACATCTTAACGTTGCCGAGTTTGAAAAACACTGGCCTAGAATTTAAACCCGGAAACGCAGACATACAGAAAAGCTTGAGTTCCTGAGAATTGCTGTGTTCATCCATTTTCATCTGTGTTTGAAGAGATTTTCTGTGCTGAGCTGTGTCTGTGAGCCTTCTGTCAAGTCTGAGCTGATACCTGAGTGAGGGGTGAAGAGTCGGGAGAGTCCAGATTTAAGCCATGCCTGTGTAAAGCCTGACTACCATCATTTGTGGTGGCAGCAAGTTTGTAATATCCCTTCTTTTTCCCCATTTTCCATTCCAAGCACAAGTTTGTATATTTCTGTCAGGCCACCACTAACTCATCTTCTCTCTAAGCAAAAAAGTCCCAGTTGTTGAGGTATTTCTTTTATCATCAGCCAAGGAGATGGCTGAATCATTTTCCTCCCTTGTGTCATCCCCAGAGTGTGAAGATAGCACCATCTCAGTTTCCAGGACAAGACACATGCAAATCTTATTTATTGCCTGGCCATAAATAATCTGCAGATGTAACCATTCTACTCTTTGTTTTAATTTTACAAAACAGTTGCATGCAAACCATTTAAAATCCCAGCAACCAATTCCAGCAATTGTGCGGATGACTCAAAGCTGGGGGGAATTGCTAACACTTCAGAAGACAGATTCAAGATTCAGAAGGATCTTGACAGACTTGAGCATTGGGCCCCATACAACAAGATGCAGTTCAGTGGAGAGAAAAGTCAGGTCCTGCACTTGGGCAGGAAACCCCAGATCCACAGGTACAGGACAGGCAGGACCTGGCTCAACAGTAGTGCCTATGAGAGGGATTTAGACGTCCCGGTGGACCACCGCTTAAGCATGAGCCAGCCATGTGCTGCAGCTGCCAGAAATGCCAACACAGTCCTGGGCTGCATCAATAGAGGGATGCAGTACCAAGATCAAGGGAAGGGATAGTACTACTCTACACCACACTGGTGAGGCCACATTTGGAATACTGTGTCCAGTTCTGGTCACCACAATGCAAAAAAGAGGTTGAGGCCCTAGAAAGAGTGCAGAGAAGAGCAACAAAGATGTAGGACAAGAAGCAATGGGTGGAAGCTCATCAGAGGGAGATGCAACCTGGAAATAAGGAGGAATTTCCTGACAGTGAGAACTATTAAGCAGTGGAACAGCTTGTCTCTTGGAGTTGTGGGTGCTCCATCACTGGAGGTTTTCAAGAAAAGGCTGGACAACCATTTGTCCAAGATGGTATGAGGAGGACTCCTGCCTTGGGCAGGGGGCTGGATTAGAAGACCTCCAAGGTCCTTTCCAACCCCATGCTTCTATGAATCACACCCTCCCTGTATATCTTGGGGTTTTACCTAAGCTTGCTAATGTTTTCTTCTTGCGCATGAATAGTTTCATTTTAACTTTCTGATGGTAAATTCATTTTCTGTTTTCTGGCTGAGTTAAAGGGTTCCACACCCGTTCCTGAATTAACATAAATTCTTCTGGAATGAAACTGAATGCACCCCTTGCTGACCCCTCTCCTGCTCTCATTGTCCCTCACTCCTGTCCCTTATCCCCAGAGCCTTTCAGGTGGCCCTTAGACGGTGGGGGGGAAATACCAATAACTGTCCTTCCCCCACCTTCTTGTATAGAAACTGCTCCCCTTCCTGCCCCCACTTATCCTGTCTATGATTCAGAAATTCTATTTCTTGCCCTATAGCTCTTCGTGATAATTTACATGCCCTCTGGTAAATGCACACCTTCCCCAGCAAGGCAGCCTCTGAACAACGTGATACTATTTGGTGCTTTAAGTTTGTCCTCCCATCCCCCAGAAATTAATTTAAAAGAAAAAAGAGGGTAGAGTTAAAACGTCTCTTGGTAAGGCAGGTAGGTACTGTAGGTAGGTAGGTCGATGCTATTGAACTGGATCTAGTGATGGGTGGGCTCCAGACCTGCCAGATGGAGTAGCTGTGGATTCAAAGGCCAGCTGATTCAGGGGTCCTACACGGGGTTGTGCTCTCCTGTTCAGAACTGGTGTGCAATCCCTTGGACTCACCACTCCTATTTCACACTTTACTTTTTGTGCCAGTTTCCTGAACCAGGAACCCCTGCGCAGGATCACTCAAATCTTGACCCCCTTTGGGGTGGACTACTGCAATGTACTCAAGGTGGGTCTAACCCTGGAGACTATGCAAAAGCTCTTGCTGGCTCGAAACATGACAGCTATCATGCAACTATCACCACATCTGTCAAAACAGGAAACAGTTTGGGGAACAAAATGCCACATGCCAGATAAACGGGCCAGGTCGGAAGTCTTCCTTATGGTTCTACCTTCCTTTTACCACCTTTCACAACTTGTTTACCTTCAAGCAAATCTCCCCTTTCCCAGCAGAACTGGCCCTTAAGCAATTTGGCTCTTCTGTGTTACAAACTGTGGTTTCCCTTTCCTGGTCACACATGGTTATTTAGGACAAAACCATGTTTGTATTGGGGTCCATCCAGAGGCAGAACTTCACCAAGTGTTTTTAGCTCAAAGTTCAACAGGGACATGTAGATTTTGATTAGAAAAAGGCTATGGAATATCTTTCAATACGTGTACTGTAAGCTTTTCATGACGTATTAGAAAATGCTAGTTTTACAATACAGGTAGTCCTCATTTAGCGACCACAGTTGGGACCATGACTGTGCTTATGATCTTACTTGAACTTTCCTTTAAGGCTTTATAGACCTGTGAAGGTCGTAAATGCGAGGATTGGTTGTAAAGTTACTTATCACTGTTGTAACTGCAAATGGTCACTAAACAAGGCAGTCACTAAATGAGGACTACCTGTATTTCAGATCTGTTGCTTATCCATCCATCCTTCACTACCTGTACCAGATTTTCCTGTTTGTATCCTATTTTTTATATTCTCTCCAAATATATAATGAGACAGCAGTTGAGTGCCACAAGGAGATTTTACTTGAAGGAGGCAAACAGGCAACCCCCAAGCCCAGGGAAGACCCAAGGCACCCACAAGCCAGCACAGGATACTGTTGTAAGCCCTGCCCCTTTTTGGTGAGCACGGAGGCATTGCCCTCATGCTCCAGAGGGCTTTGTCATGATGCCGCTTTTGTCATTTTGACTAAAGCAATGAGTTCCCATGGAAGCCTCTGGGAGAAGGAGCAGAGGGAAGAAAACTTTGGGAGAGATATCCAGCAGGAGTCTTCTTGCTAACTGGCCATCTGCAGGGGTGCTGTAATATTGGGTTTCTGCATTACGCAGGGGTTGGACTAGATGCTCTCTGAGGCCCCTTCCAACTCTTCCATTCTGTTTCTGGGATGAGAATACCCAGCACACGTTTCTAACACGTGCTAGTCCACACCTCTATCAAAGAAGAGGGGAATCACTCCTGATCTGGCTCCTTTTAGGATTTGGAGGTAAACTGCTTTGGAACATGGAGGATCTGTTCATAGTCGCCTTCAGTCAGTGCAGCAGACTGAGACAACTCAGGTTCAGGTCTCCCTGGTGAACCTGGGACCTGTAACCCCACAACCTGTGGGATTGACCAAGTTGGACCAGTCACTCTTTTGTAACCTACCCTGCAGGGTTGTTGTTCTCATTGTGGGGATAAAATTGGGGAAGAGTCCCACGAAAGCTATTTGTGCTGCCAGAGGCGAGTAGGAATGGAAATCCAATACAATCGGTGAATTTATTTCAATCTTCCCTAAATCTCCTTTATATATTTTAGACTACAAGTCCTACCGTACCCTGCCAAGCATGGCAGGAGAAATACATTACACTTATCCTGGTTACTCTGGGGAGGAGAGGCGATAAAAAAGATTTAATTTATTTTCAAACTGCAGGCATAGGGCTGGGAGAAAACTGCAACAGGACATTGGTTAAGAAAAATACCCCTGCGCGTTGGGCTTCAAAAAGTCACGAATTCGGGCGTCGCTGGTGGCAGGTCAGTAGGTCATGCGGCTTTGGAGGCCTTTAAACACAAGCTTAACTGGGTTACTGAATTAACCGCCTCTTATCTGTCCGCAAAATACACCAAATCCTAATCTAACCAAACGCCAAGCCACAAAAGCAAGATCGACGCTAACTCAACTTCCTACGCTCCGCCAATACGACCACCTGCCCGTCTCGCGTGAACGCGGGCGCCGCGGCAAAGCGCTTCCCCCGTGCGAGTGCGCCGGCGCGCGCTTCCCGGGACCTCGACCCCGCGCGCAGCGTTGACCCCGCCCTCTCCAGCCCCGTCCCTCATTGGTGCGTCACTTTCGAAGGGATAGTCCGGCGCTCGAGGCGCTCGGGGAGGAATGCTCGTTTCCGTCGGGCGTATTTCCGCCCGGTCCTTCGGTGCCCGGAGGGGTCTGTTGCAGCAGCTGCGGGGGCGGGACCGCCGGGCCGATGCGGCCGCGTTGGTGGCTCCTCTGGCTCCTCGGAGCCGCCGCTGCCTTGCTGGGGGGCAGCCACGGTGAGTTCCTTCCGACGCAGCAGCCTGTTTTAGGCAGCTTGAACTCCATTTCTCGGGAGGAGGGGGAGTCACGAAGTCAAGCCGGCGGGCAGTGTCTGCGATCGAAACCCCGCCCTTTTTTAATGTGCGTCTTGCCTTTTTGCCCCCCCCCCCCACCCCCCCCCCACCCCCC